TCTCATGGACAGGAGGCAGTAGCTCCTCTGGCTGTTGGTCCAGGAGGACCAGCGAGGATATTCTCCCTTCTCCAAAACAAACTGCTCTCCCAGAAAGCCCTTCTGCTCAAAGGCGACCCATCTATGACAAGATCATCAAGATCAGGACGGATAAATGGATGATTCCTTTTGATTAAAGCAGGGATTCACAAACTTTCTTTGTCAGCCAAATCCCTTTCAACATAAATATTTGCTTGAAGAACCCCAGAGATTTTAAGTTAATATTTCAATAATTTAACAATTTCTGATGTTGGTTAATGGTCACGTGACATACAGGTAAAGCTGTGTTATTTTAGTGTCATTTATATACTATTATAGCTACTACCAATTATAGTTTTTTTTTTAAATATTTTGAACTAAATGTTATTTTTATATTTTTATATTCATTTTCATTTTAGTTAAAGTTTTAGTAGTTTTCACTGTTTTTTATTTTTATCTTTATATAGCTTTAAGTTCGTTTAGTTTGAGTTATTTTAGTACTCCAACTTAATAAAAATTACATTTATAAATGAAAATGAGAAATGTTTACTTGGCAACTAGCTGAAATAAAATTAAGTTATTTTAAAGTTTTTATTTTTTATTTTTTTTTAAATATTTTATTTTATTTCATTTCATGTTTATTTTATTTCAAGTAAATACTTATTTATGGTTTTAGTTTTAGTTAAGGACAATAACCCTGAGGTAAACAAATATAATATTTCAGATATTTCAATAGCTCTTACATTTTTTGACTTAAAGACCCTCTATATGATATAATACTAACAGAATTATAACTATATCTAAATTACATTCAGAAACTGAGGCCGTTATTTACGTTTTATTAAATGTCCATATAGGTAAAATAATAAATCACAGTTCATTTTGTGATTCCAGAGGTTTTAAGAACCGCTTGTTCTAAACAAACATTATAGAGAAGAAAAAAGAAACATGATTTCATCTTTATATCCTTATTGTACTTTTGCATTTTTTTATTCATATATTATATTATATTATATTATATTATTATACATTTTAAGAAAGGTCTGGTTGAGAAGCACTGATATAAGTAGTTCATTGAGTTGGATGTTATAATCATCTGAAGTCATATGCTATCATTTGTGTGCGAAACAGACTGAAAACCTTCTTCTACTGTATAGTTCTCCTATAGACAAATCCAGTTTGCACATATTCAAACTTTTGCTTTCAAGAACAGTCTGAACATTCTGCATTCCTTCTTTTGTGGTTGTAGATAATGTGGTTTGACGGTAGAGAACGTACTCACGGGCAAGACTCAGCTATGATTGATCCAACTTTTTCCAAGTTCTTCTCAATCAAGTCCTTGCATTCTGCTGACAGCTCGACCTTTTTTCCACAGAAGTTCTCGAATTCAAACAGTGAGACCTGTTAAGATGATTCAACACATTTTAAGTCATAAACTCTTTGTCATAAACTCTATAAGTCATAAACTCTTTGTCATAAACTCTATAAGTCATAAACTCTTTCATTCATGAAAAAACGAGCAGAATTTGTGTAAATAATTTGTAAAAACATTTATGTAAATTGTCATTCATTTTAATGAAGAACTTCTTTCTGCTCTTGTTTCCCCTAGACAGCAATGAAATTAAATGAAGAACAAGCGGACATATTTGCTGTTCAGAATTTTCTTCTCAAGACAACGTCTCAAACTGTGTTCAAATTTGTCAGTATCAAAGTCTGCAATCAAAAGTCAAGAGATATTAAAGGAATAGTTCGCCCAAAATTGAAAATTTACTCACCCTTAGATGTAGATGATGTAGATGAGTTTGTTTCTTCATCGTTAGATTTGGAGAAATGTAGCATTGCATCACTTGCTCACCAGTGGATCCTCTGCAGTGAATGGGTGCCGTCAGAATGAGAGTCCAAACAGCTGATAAAAACATCACAATAATCCTCAAGTAATCCATAATTTTTAACTTTAAACCGTTGCTTATGACCAAAATATGAGTCCACTTGTGAATTATTGTGATGTTTTTATCAGCTGTTTGGACTCTCATTCTGACGGCACCCATTCACTGCAGAGCATCCATTGCTGAGACACTGATGCAATGCTACATTTCTCCAAATGTGTTCTGATGGAGAAACAAACTCATCTACATCTTAGATGCCCTGAGGGTGAGTACATTTTTACATTCCTTCATAGACTCTTATTATGTGTCAGCTATTGAAATGTTGTGTCTGTTTTTGCAAGAATCCATTCAGTCTCAGGAGCTATAAAAGAGTTTCCTCTGGGCTTTTTGTCTGTGAAAAATAACTGTATAAATGAGTACATTTGGACCTTGTAAACTGCTCCTGCTCCGCCTTGGCTCTTCCCAGCAACCTGCTGATCTGGGACTCCCTGCTGATCTGACATCTCTCCACCCGTCAAAAACACAAACACACGTCAGAGATGAGAAAAAAAGTGATTCTGAATAGGGTCACACACCAGCCATTGCTGCGTGAGTGCTAAAAACATGAGAAGAGTAAATAACTTCAATTAAATGTTGAACCAAAAGAAAACAGGAGATTTAATCTAAAGTGGATGGCCATAAAGCACATGTGGACACTTATAAATACATAAATATTGCATTAGATAACAAAATATCAAAACAAGAGGCATTTATTTTGAAGAAATATGCATAATCATGCAAAATATTCATAACTGATATGAACGGTATATATTTTTTTTTAACAAAACACAACTTGCGTTTCCCCAAAATTAAACAGGTAAACATATTCCTTAAGCAGCAATTTATAAAACTGAAATGATTATTACATTATTGTCACATTATATATATTGTGTTTGTAAAAATATGTTCTTGGTAGTAGGGGAAAAACAAAACAATGACTGAAAAAAATTCTTACAAAAAACAAAACAAAGACTGAAAAAACTTCAGAAGGGACACAATTAAACATAGCTTATTATGCTCATTATTGTAACATGTATTGTATTTGAAAAAATGTTTTTGGTAGGACGGCCAAAACAAAACAAAACAAAACAAAACAAAAAACAAAACAAAACAAAACAAAACAAAACAAAAAACAAAACAAAAAACACTGACTGAAAAACATTCAAAAGGGACACAATTAAACTCGGCTTATTATGCTCATTATTGTAACATATCTATTGTAATTGTAAAAATGTTCTTAGTCGGATGGCAAAAATAAAACAAAACAAAACACAAAACAAAACAGATAACAAAATGCGAATGCATCTTTCTTTTCAATTCACAAAAAAGAGGTTTGTTATAGGTTTTAAACTAAAACAATAGATCTAGCGATGACAATGAAGACAAAAACATTTTGTAAACTTTCTTGTTTTAGCAATAAAAGGTTGGATCAAATAGATTAGTCTTGATCAAGGAAAAATCTCTCTAAAAATGATTTTCCTTTCTCTTTTATACCAATTTCTGTATTTCAATTACACTGCATTACACTCTAAAAAATGCTGGGTTGTTTCAACCCAATGTTGGGTCAAATATGGACTAACCCAACTGTTGGGTTAAAAAGTTAATTTAAAAATGTAACCAAAATTTAACCCAACAGTTGGGTTAGTCCATATTTGACCCAACATTGGGTTGAAACAACCCAGCATTTTTTAGAGTGTAGGTATCCAATTAAACCCAAGACAGATTTCTATGACAATGATATTTAGTTTCTTTTTTCTGCCAGCATGAAGGCTGAACTTATCTTTACCTGTTTCTCCCGTCCTTCACCTTCAGCAGTTCTCACCCCTCCACTCTCTCTCAGCGTGTGTGTGTATGAGGGTGTGTGTGTGTGTGAGGCGTGTGTATGGAGGAGAGGGTGCGCTGGAGGGGTACTTATGGTTTAATTCCATCCACAGCAGCAGAAATGGGTTGGGCGTCGATTGCTGTTGATGCAGCAAGTCTGTCGTTCGAATTTGTGTCCATCAGACTGCCTCTCAATAGTTTGTGAGTTGGCAGGAGTTGCCCGCAGCCACCAGCTTGCTCTGCTGCCAGCGTGGGTACAGCGGGCACGGACAGGGCGCGAGCCAAGAGGATTCAGACAGGATCAGCTGCTGTCATCACAACCCTGCTCACTATCCCCTCTCTCTCTCTCGCTCTGGTCTCACTGCCTCTCTGAGCCCAAACCCACGCCACAGATCTGGGCCATTCATCCTCATTTGATGGATTCTCAAAATTAGTGATTGTTTTCTATAATTGTTTGCCCAAGAAAAGCATGCATGTAAAAAAAAAAAAGAAACCTTTGAAATTAACAAATGAATAAAAAAGGGCTTAATTTTGGTTTAAAATGTAGTTAAATATAACTTAAATTGAATTTTAAAAACTTGGTCGATGTAAGTAAATGTATATCCCACTACCCAGTATAACCCACTATATTAAATTCAATATATTTAAATTCAACAAACTGCATTTACAAAAGACTAGGGATGCACCTTACAAAAAGCAAATAAATTATTATTTAATAAAAAAAACAACAACAACTTTGAAATCAGTAAATACATTATAAATGGCTTAATGTTGGTATAAAATGTAGTTAAAAGTATCAAAATGTTAATATGAATATTTTTTAAATTAAATTTAAATTGCACTTACAAAAGACAAGGGATGCACCTTAATTAAAAAAACATTTTTTTTTCACATCAAATCACATTTGAAATCGACAAATAAATTAAAAATGGCTTAATTTTGGTATAACATATTAAATGTATCAAATTAGTATATATATTTTAAATTCAACTTAAATAGCATTTTAAAAAGACTTTGGGTACACCTTAAAGGAAGTTATCAATAATGAAAAAAAAAGTCTTAATTTAGGTTTAAAACGTAGTTAAATGTAACAATAAATGAATATGATCTACTGTACGATTTACCCTGTTATAAGGATTGTTTTCATAGCTCTATCATTGATCTCTGATACCTACTGATATCTCAGTCCTGCAGCACATACGCAAGCAGTATATACAAAGACAAACTTGCTTCCCATTTAGAAAAATATTTAATGAATTCATATTTTTATAAAACACAATTCATGTTTCCCAACATTAAACAGGTAAACATTTTCCTCAAGCAGCAATTTACACAGCTGAAGTCTAAAAATAAACATGACCGAAAAACATTTCAAAGGAACACAGACACAACTTATTAGACATTATCGTAACTCTGATTTGTGTTTGTAAAAGTGTTCTTGGCAGGACTGAAAAGACATGGGCAACAAAAACAAAACCTCATAAATGACCATCAGTCAGATCCAAGCGCATCAGCTGATGCTTTTCTGCACACTAGCTTTGATTAAAGTAGAAACATAGAGAATAAAATAAAAGAATGAACCGAATGAGATCAAAATACCATCAAATGATGCTTATGAATTGGTCTTAAAGGAATGGCTCGTTGTAAACAGAATGAAAACAATTAAGAGAAAAAAAAAGGAGTTTCATATAGCAATGCCATAATGAATATCTTAAGATCAGACTTTTAGAAACACAATATTTAAAATCAGAAAAATCAAACTCAAATGCAATTTAATGCCTAAGAGCACCTTTTCCAGTGGTCTGACTCATTTAAAGTGCATTGTAGCATGAAGCTATACTGATTTCTGCTTCTCAATGATCAGAGATGAACAGAAGATATGTGCAGTTGGCCCCTGATCGAACTGGAGGAACTTGAATTTAACCATCCTCACTTTAGATAAAAACATCTGCTGGATTAATAAATGTAAACAAAATTAACATTAACAGCACTTGCTTTTTAAACACACACTCTTTTGCCGATTATAACGCTGCCAGATTATGACAGACTTTTATGTAAAAAGTAAAAATGTGCATAACAGGACATCATCTTGGCAAAGCCTTCAAACTGTTTAGTCCAGGACTTGTACTCAAAATAGTCTGATACTCAGTCAGCATGAGAATGAAAGATCTTTGCACTTCTCATTCATGTAAGTCAGTTCCTTTGGCATCTTTGTGGCATCACACAGACTTCCTCTGCAGCGGACTTCCTCTTAAACTGCATCAAACCTGTGAGGAAAGACAGCAGGGTAAACATCATTTAATGTGCTCTTGAAACTGTAAGAAGAACTAAATTAAGTGTTATATATGTGGATTTTGTCCCCCTCTACTGGAGATGAAGGGAACAAATATAATGCAAATATTCCAGGATTTTCAGGAAAGTTTCAGGAAGCTTCATTATTTAGGTAATCAGAGAACTGGATCGGTGATTCCTGCAAATACACAGACCTGAGCTTCACGAGCTTCATGCTTCACTTTCAGGTTGACTCATTCGCTTCTTGGATTTGAGCTCAAGCAGCCAGGAGGGTGAAGAGCCGGACCTGGATTTACATGAATCACAATAATTACATTTGACATAATGATGAATGTAATAAGAATGATCTGAATGGCATATTCAGACAAATGTGCTAAATGAAGCATCATAATATGTGGCACCGTAAAACATGATGTGCATCAAAGATAATAAAACACTGAAGCAGCACTATGAAATTAATCCTTTAAAGCTTGACATATGAAATAACAGTCAGAAAGAACTTTTTTTTTTTTGGGGAAATGGAACAGTTTTTGAACCTTTAGACAAATATGAAAAAGGTTTGCGTGTGTTTTTTGTTGAATATCATAATTGGTGCATCAGGATTTTATAGCTCATTTAATATGATATAGTGAGAATATGGAGGAAATAAACACCCCCGATTTTATTCAGACTACTTACATAAAATGCATATAAATATCATTTTTCACTCTATATCTCCTAATAATATGACTTAGTTCGATTATATTTAAATGTTTAGTTTTATGGTAGCTTTAAATCATATAATGCAATGCAATACAATGGTGATTGAGAGATGAACAAATAAACATTCCTCAAAAGCCTGATGATCATATTTAATAATCACATTTTAACATGATTTTTCTAAACAATGATCTATGGATAATCAAGTAAACCTAAGTTGCATCAGTCCAGAAAGGAAGTACAGTATGTTCATCAATATACTATAAATATTACTAACAATATGAAAGTTATTCTTACATTTACTTCATAAAAATCAGTAAAGATTTCACAGCAAAAATACACATGAACCATGATCTGATGGTAGATGTTTTTACAATTATAATAAAATTCGTTTTACTTGCTAAAAAGTAGGAACTATCAATCAGACGACAGAAAGCATGTAGTAAATTGTGAACGACAGGTTTTTCAGCGAGGTTTTGATCATGTTGATCATTTAGAAGCCTTAGAAATGTATCAAATATAATACAGTAGGCTCTATAGGGTTAAATTAGCTTAAGACTTATAAAACACATTGATCTGCCAATGAAAATGTGATTGCATCACATTCCATAAGCAATAATAAATCGTTTTTTACTGAAAGTTTCTGGTCACACGTACCCACTGTCCTTGGCATCAACAGGGGGCAGCACTCTGGGGCCGAGGGACCTGGTGGGTGTGCGGGGAGAGCGTGTGGGGACAGATGGAGGCGTCTGCGCTTCTGTTGGATTTACTGTTTCTGCAACTCCACTTCTCCGCTTTAGTTGGGCCTGCGAGAGAAAAACGAGACATGAAGAGTTGATGTGTGACTTCAGAGGGACTTTAGTTAGGTAAAGTGTGAGTGTGACGTGTAGCCAAGTATGGTGTCCAATATTCGGAATTTGGATTTAACCCATCCAAGTGCACACACACACACACACACACACACAGCAGTGAGCAGCGAACACACACACACACACAAGGGTCTCACATCAGTCTGGTATTGAGGTTGGAAGAGAGCGTTGGTTATTCACTCCCCCCACCGACAATCCCTGCCGGTTCTGAGACTCGAACCCGTGACTTTTGGGTTACAAGTCTGACTCTCTAACCCAGGGGTGCCCAAACACGGTCCTGGAGGGCCGGTGTCCTGCAGAGTTTAGCTCCAACTTGCCTCCACACACCTGCTGGGAAGTTTCTAGTATGCCTATAAGAGCTTGATTAGCTGGTTCAGGTGTGTTTAATTGGGGTTGGAGCTAAACTCTGCAGGACACTGGCCCTCCAGGACCGAGTTTGGGCACCCCTGCTCTAACCATTAGGCCACGACTTCCCATAAGCACCCAAAACCAGACATATACCAGCAGGGACATACCATGAGGGCAGAAGGGTCCATCCCAGGAAACACAGGGACTCTCTTAGGCTGGCTCGGGGCTGGAGAGGACGTGACATCCTGGGACGGTTCCTCTTCTGATTCAGAGTCCGCTCCATTGGACCACTGATCTTTTGCTTCTGTAATAGATTGTTTTCTGTCTAATCAATCATTGACATAAAGGTTTGTGGATTTTCTGCAGTTGAAGCATACAGATTCTAAAGGATTTAGACTCTACCCCACTAAAAATGTAACGTAATGTAACTATGATTCAGTGTTAAAAATAAAAACTGCTCTGCACGGGACATCATCTTAATAAATTGTTTTTATTTGTGATATATGATAAGATGTATGATATGACCTGTGGAGTCACAGAACCTCCAGTCGGGTTGCGTTCCCTCTGTCAGAGAGGGCAGGGCGACTCTCTGTCGTATAGAACGAGACGGTCTGGAACGCTTTATGCTCCGTTTCTTCCCCAGATCAACCTTTGAACGGAAAACTCTGGAGTCCGGTAGAGGAGCTGCAGTCTAATCCAGCATTTCACATGCAAAAATACACACATTAACACAAGTACACAATTCTTTATATCATATTATATTATTTTTATATTATATATATATACATTTAAATTATTATAGTATAAAGATTATTTTATATTATTTTAAAAGACTTGAGTATAATATAATAGATATGAATTCTAGATAAATGAATATGAATTCTTATGAAATTTTTATCTGTTAAGCAGAAAATTCTAATGATCCTCGTGCATTACATTATATTACTGTAATACATAATGAACAAAAACCAAATAAAATCCTAACTTATAATGGATTTAAAACATTTGAATGGTAGTGTATATAATGCATATAAATATAAACATATAAATACATGAATAAATCTATCTAATAATCTAAATATAAACATAATATATATAAATGAAAATAAATAAAAATACAAAAACATTTATATATATATATATATATATATTAAAAATCGGATAAAATCATAACTGAAGTGTACCTCAAGAACCGGTAGCGGTTCGGGCTGCTCCTGAATTGGGACGTCTGCTGTGTCTGAATCAGTAGATGTATTTCGTCGTCTGGCCTGAGTCAGTCTCTGTAGGACTTGATTGATTCTGGCCTGTGTAGCTTGACTGAACAGATAAAAACATATGAAATCAACCCACATGTAACTCTACAGCGAGAGAACTGATGTTTGATGCTTTTCATGACCACTAGGGGACAGTCTGAGCAAAACAGATGTCTGATGACTGTTAGTCTAAAGCAGGGCTGTCCAAACTTGGTCCTGGAGGGCCGGTGTCCATGACCAATCAGCTTCAAGTAAAGTGACACATGTTTGATGCAATAAAGCCACTCCCCCAGTTTCTCTTACTCCAAATTAAAGGACGCTACATAGTAAAACATTTTTAAAGATAAAATGTCTGATTTTTATTTTGTATAATTATTTTATATGATTTATTTAATTATTATACCCTTAATCCATTACACAAGCTAGCTTAGTTTAATAGTAATTATCAAGCTTTTATTTTAAATTAATATAAACATATAGATAATATGCAATATAAATAAGGTTTAGAATCAAAAGCTTTAAACATGACTACATATGAGCTTAGATTTTTAAGTGTTTTTATACCTATAAATATTATCAACTCTATAAACAAACTTTACTACTTTTACTTGCACTTATATGGCAAGGTGTTTTCTTTAAGTTTCCCTCTTTCCTGGAAAGATCGTTTCATCTCATGTAAATGTGTTTAAATTCTTCATATTGTTCAATCTTTTAATCTTTGGCAGTGAATCACACTGACTCTCTCGCAAGAATTGAATCACAGTTTCAAGGCATGTGATTGGCTGTTCATTACTGATGTCACACTTTCAAGTGCACGTGCCCCATTACCTCAGGATCAAGCCTGAGTTGACAGAGAAAGTTGATGATCAGCTTCATGGTGCCAACAAAGCCGTGAAGGTTTGGTTTTGTCAACTCAAAACTAATCCTTTAATCTTCATCCTGTCGTCTGCCTACACCACATTTAGACTCTGTGACATGTAGGATGATGCCAAAGTTGAACACATAAATTTACACTAATATAACTATAAAACCCTAATTTATATAATTTAAATATAAGCATGTACATAAAAAGCAGCATTTAACAAAATAATAATTTTGCTACTATTAATTAATTAATTTTTTAAACAGTTCAGTGTAATGAATCATCTAAACAAAATTTGCTAAACTTTTAATTAAGGGCATTTCAGGAGACTTGAGAGTTTTATTCCCTCAAACTCATTCGGCTGCAAGCCTATGTACACAGAACATAAAAACACAGCAATATAGTCACCTGACACCGGGGGAAATAAAAACGTGTTACTGGAAAAACTATATTGTTTTGAGACTAAAAAAGTCAGTAGCTTTGCTAGTCTTAGTTAGTAGCTCCACAACACTGATCTAATGCTATTCTCAGATGTTCAAAAGACAACTAAATCAAGCGTAGCGTTAGTTCTGGCAGGTCACGTTAGTCAAGCTCGCATCAGCTGACTCTCAGCTGATCCCCATCTACCTATAGGAATACGACGAGACAATCTAAGCATTCATATATAAGGTCCCTCAGTATTATCAACAGTTTTTGCATTGCTCAATAGCTAATTACCCTCCTCCATCCCCAGCTCCTCCTCTGTCAGTCGGGATTCAGCCTTCTGATTATCCTTTGAATCAGACTAATTCTAAAATGTGTACATGAAATTATTGAACTTTAACAATATCTGCAATACATTTATGTTAGTTCTGTTCTGTTTACCGTGGGGGGTTATTGCTGCTCTATTTGCTCTCATCCATGCTAGGCTGCATGGATGCGCAGGGAGTTCTTGCCCAGAACAGAACCATACCGCCAATCCAAACTGTATGCTAATTGTCAATCATCTTTTGTCAAATGTTTATTGTGGCAATGAAAATGATGATGTATCATCTTGTAGATATTTCTTACTCATCAACAGTGTCGTTGTTTTCATTTTGTTCGTCGGTTTCCCCGATTAGATTCTCTGTGTCCTGTTCTGCAAATGCATCCTCCTCGGGCTCACCGTCCTTCAACTGACCCTGCAGGGTTTAATGAGAGCAAACAAACACACATACTTCAATACTCAGATTTCAGTAAAGTCCTGCTAAAAAAACACCAGCGAGTTGCCACATTGTATGTTGGGTTGTGGATGCTGGTGTAGCCAACAGGCTTCTTAACCAGCTAAACCAGCTCCACTAGGGAAACCATGCTGGTTGATCAAGTTTCTTTTATAAACAGCTTACCAAGACCACCACCAAACCAGCTCAGACCAGTATAGAAAGACTCTAGACTCACCTCAAAGCAGTGTTATTATTTATCTACGATTATAGCTTTCATTAATATTCTGAATTAGACATTTCTCATTTTGATTTAGTATAATGATGTACTATAAATAAATAAAACAGATATTATATATATATAATCAAAATATTTAGAATCTAAATATTAATAAAATCTATAATCGTATCTCAATTCTACTAAAATAACATTGTTCAGATAAATGACATTGTTATTTATTTTCAGTTAATATAGTACTTAAACTTGCAACTTAAACATGCACATTTCAGTTTATCATTTTTTTTTTAGTTTGCTTTCATCTAATATTTACATTCACGCTTTATTGCAATTAACCAAAATGTTTTTTTTTAGTCTTAGTTTTTAGTTAATGATAATAACTCTTTCTAATAATCTCAAAAAAAGTACTCATTTACACAAAGGAGTATGTAAAGATCTTGGACTGTGAGGACAGACTTCTTAAAGTTGCAGGTTTTATGTTTTTTTACGTTTAGCTGGCAGAAAATGAACAAACGACCACCACCAAATGAGTAAATGGTGAGCTGAAATTGAAACATAATACATAATTTAAATCACACAACTATAGTCAACCAAAACGAGAAATTCCAAAGAGAAGTTAACGTCCTATTGAAGAAGAATATCAATGACCAAAATAAACGATTAAAATATAACACTTAATAAAATATGAAATATTTTATTTGTTCACTTTCATGCCATGTGAAATATTACCTCAAAATCCTCAGGTAAATATTTTAGATCAAAGGGATTCAGCTGACAAAAAAAACTGTTTTCTTCTGCTGTCATAATTTCAATAATCCATGAACCTCATGGCACGACACATTCCTGGAGTCAAGCCATTAAAACGAAACTCTGAAGACCAAAATAATTGTAGGTCTCAGTGTTTTTATGATAGATAATATTTTACCAAATGGCTAGAATATTTATACATACATTCAAAATATATTGTTGCATATAACAGACATGCAGTCACACTTTTGGGAACCATTTCTCACTATTAACTAAATATTAACTATAATTTTTGCCTCAATAAACGCCTAATTTGCTGCATATTAGTTAGTAAGGTAGTTGTTAAGTTTAGGTATGGGGTAGGATTAAGGGATCTAAAATATGGTCAGGCAGAATAAGGCATTAATATGTGCTTTATAAGTACTAATAAATATAGTGATATGCATGCTAATAAGCAACTAGTTAATAGTGAGAATTGGTCCCTAAATTAAAGTCTTACCAGAATTGGATAATGCATAAGGCAAAATACAAATTTACTGCTGCAACTGAATATTGAGTAGATGCTTTACAGATCTCAAATAACTAGATTGACATGAGTGCTTGGCACCAAATATACTCTAGTGGCCTTAATGCAACATTGAGACCACGTGAGGTCAGAACTAGGGTCAGAGGTCATGGATCGGCCATTATTAACGAAGGCCTCCATATTCAAAAGAGAACGAATAGAATGACAGCGTGACCCTGGGGTCGTTCATCTAGTGAGTGTGTGACATGAAATTTATACACCGAACAAACAAATGCGAAGAACAAATTATTTGTTGAGAAAAACAAACAAGTAACATCTCAGCAGCACAAGCGAGAGAGAGGAAAGGGTAAGAGGCAGACTACGGACATCTAAGCGCACATGAACCTGCCTTCCACAGCAGGCTGGAGATCTGACTTTTCCCAGAGGGGCCATTGCGCGGCTTGAACTGCCCGGGTCGTTTTACAGTGCCTTGGGCAAAGCTGCTCTGCACTGAATCAAGACAATGTTGAATCAATTAAAAGTAGAGGAGCAGCAGTTAGCAAGCCACAAAGTCTGGCTTCAATCAGAAACCCTTGCTAATTGTCCACAATGCCCTCCCACTGATTTACGGGTGACTTAAAATAGTCTAAAGCACAACACGTTTTGTTTATGTCCTATTAAAGTCCTGTGTGGAAGTATTACCAGGGTGTTTTTCCAGAAAGTTACACTTTAATGTATCATCAGAGTGGCATAGCGCTGTGAGACCATACGAGATGAGAGAAAAGAGTGGGCGAAGAAGGTATGGTGACTGTCTGGCTTCCCTGAAAAGACAACTAGTCGCTCATAAGGAAGCACTACTCAGGCTAAGTTTCTGATTCACATGACCCATATATAAAAAATAAACATACATTTTTTACATTTATTCCTGTGATGGCAAAGCTGAAGTTTCCGCAGCCATTATTTCAGTCTTCAGAGTCACATGATCCTTCAGAAATCATTCTAATATGCTGATTTGCTACTGAAGATACATTTCCTATTATTATTTTTGAAAACTGCTGTGCTGTGTAATATTTTTGTTGCAAATATTTTCATGATACATCATGATAGTTTTGTAACATTATAAATGTCTTTACAGCCACTTAAATGTATCCTTGCTGAATAAAAGTACCTATTTCTTAAAAAAAAAATCCAAACTTTTTAACAGAAGTCTATATACACACACCTACAGCCTAATGTAAATATATATTTACAATGTTTATGATAAAATATTACATATAAAATATTGTTACATTTAAAATGTAAACATTTTTGGTCACACTTTATTTTAATGTCCAGTTCTCACTAAAGACTATCTATTAACTATGACTTTTGCTTCAATAAACTCCTAATTTGCAGCTTTTTAATATTTAGTAAGGTAGCTGTTAAATTTAGGTATGGGGTAGGATTAAGGGATCTAAAATATGGTCAGGCAGAATAAGGCATTAATATGTGCTTTATAAGTACTAATAAATATAGTGATATGCATGCTAATAAGCAACTAGTTAATAGTGAGAATTGGTCCCTAAATTAAAGTCTTACCAGAATTGGATAATGCATAAGGCAAAATACAAATTCAAACAGGCAAAAAAAAAAAAATTATGATCAGAAAATTTCAATTCACATTCTGTTGGCAGGCATGACAAAAGGTTTTCCTATCATTTTGGTGCTAAGTGATGAGTTAAAACTCACACTCAGCTTACACACACACCCCAAAACCACATACACTGCAAACAGAAAAGCACCAACAATCCAGGCATACATGTTTTAATGATCACAGGGGCGAAACTGTCCTTTACAAACACAACAAACCCCCACACGCTCTCTCAATCATCCAGACACATCTTTGTACACAGACCAGATACTTTGAATTTCACGTCACTCTGCTGTTTAAAATATGTCAGCGTACAAGAATTGTTACTAGGAAACAAAACACTTCCTCGTAAACAAGCTCTCTGTGAGCAGCACATTAATGTTCATTCTAATAACGTTCAGTCCATCACGAGACAATCCCATAAACATACAACAATGACTGCTGGACTGTATTTCTGATCTGTACACGTTACTCACAATAAACAGCCCCTCTTCTGCATCACACACATCATTCATTTCTCTTCTATACTGATACGGAGTTGGAGGCTCTTAAAGTTGCTGTGTATGATGTTTTCAGAGTTGAAGTAATAGAAACCGGGGGAAACTGTGAGATGCTTTTGGTATGAGAAAAATATAAGTGTCAAATTATAATGACAAAGACTAGATCAAAATATTAATAACAGTGGTTGGGGGCAATCTAGTGCTGTCAAGCGATTAATCGCATCCAAAATAAAAGTTTTTGTTTATATAATATATGTGTGTTGTCACAGTTGCCTTCTGTGGCAAAACGAAGAACATGGAGACGAGGATAAACTCAAAATATGGATTGTCTTTAATCCACAATCCAAAAGGGGGAACACAAGGCAGGCAGAGACACACAAGAAATACAACATCGACGTTAATACCAGACGCTAGATACAGGAAAACACAGGGCTTAAATACTCAAACTAAACGAGATAATTAACAAACACAGGTGGATACTAATGAACTAATAATGAAACAATGAGGACAGGGACAGGAACATAACCAAATATGGGCATACATGAGGGAAAACTAAGACATGGGCAGCACATAGACAGAAAACACCAACACAAGACAGGACACAGGTCTGACATGTGTGTACTGTGTATATTTATTATGCATATGAATATAAATATATATACATGTAAATATTTTTAAAATATATACTGTATGTGTGTGTGTATTTATATATAAATACACACACACATACAGTATATATTTTAAAAATATTTACATGTATATATATTTATATTCATATGCATAATAAATATACACAGTACACACACATATATTATATAAACAAAAACTTTTATTTTGGATGCGATTAATCGTTTGACAGAACTAGGGCAATCACTTAAAAAATAAATGATATTAACCCACTTTATCTCAAATAAGAGGCAATAGCAGCAATAAAAACCACAGTTTGAATATATATGAATATTACTAGTTTAAAGCTTCATTTATTGCAGCTGTCAGGAATAATCTACAGCAAAAGTGATTACAGTTCTACGTCAGCAGCACCACACTCATGCGTCGTGGTACTCTCGTGAATGGCGGTGACAGGGAAGAGAAGAATTGTTGAATAAAATTGTTTTTTTTGGTTTTCTTTGCACACAAAAAGTATTCTTGTAGCTTCGTAAAATTACGGTTGACCCACTGATGTCACATGGACTATTTTAATGATGTCCTTACTACTTTTCTGGGCCTTGAACGCTTCAGTTCCCTTGCTGTCAATGCAGGGTCAAAAAGCTCTCGGATTTCATCAAAAATATCTTCAGTTGTGTTCCGAAGATGAACGAAGGTCTTACGGGTTTGGAACGACATGAGGGTGACTAATTAATT